ACTCCCAAGCTCAAAAAAAGCTCTCAAGTTTAGGCCAAAATGGAGGGGATATCCCACGCTATCCTGAGAGTCCACCTCTACATCAAGACAAACTCTTAATGCTAAGATACGGAGCGAATACATTGACAGGGCTGCCGTGATTTCAGTTTAAGAGTCCCCAAATAAAGTGACAGCCCTGTCAATGTATTTGCTCCCTATCTTTGCATGGAGTGTTTATCTTGATGTAGAGGTGGACTCTTACGATAGCGTGGGATATCCCCTCCATTACATCCTCAACTTGAGAGTATTTTTTGAGCTTGGGAGTTGATTTCAGAGAAAACCAGCGGCACCATCGTGTTTCTCGCGAAATTTTACATAAGAATCAACAGTCAAATCGCAATTCCTTACACATGCAACATCTCCATTTCGTGAGAGACGCGATGGTGTCACTGGCTCTCTCTGAAATCAACGCCCAAGCTCAAAAAAAGCTCTTAAAGTTCAGGCCGAAATGGAGGAGATATCTCACGTGGTCTTACTACACAAGCACCTTTGTAAGCAGTCTGGACACCGAAAGGAAGAAAAAACATGGAAGTTTGCTGGATATTTGTCCCAAACATAGATGACTGATAAAGATAGAACCTGATGGAGGTTTAAATAATTTGGACCGTAATGAAGTTCTTGCAGGCGTGAGGAATTTGCAATTTAAGTACTTTCACTTGCGTAAAATTTCGCAAGAAGCGCGATGGTGTCACTGAATCCCTCTGAAATAGACTCTCAAGCTCGAAAAAAGCTCTCAAAGTTTAGGCCGAAATGGAGGAGATATTTCACGCTACATTAAGTGGACCACATTTTGCAATAAGGAACCACTATCTCTGGCCCATTTCAAAAACAACATAAATGCAATTGGTTTCCCTCTGCAGAAAGGTGCTTTCATATGGAAGATCCATCGATAGTGGTTCCTTATTGCAAAATGCAATCCAAATGTTCTCCTCTACATCTAGTCAAAACTCTCTATGCACAGATAGGGAGAAAATACAGCCAGGTTGCCGTAGTTCCAATTTCAGAGTCCTCAAACAAAGTGGCAACCCTGCGAATAAATGCTCTCTATCTGTTAATGGTGATTTCCACTAGATATAGAGATAGACTCTCGATATAGTGTGGAATCTCCCCACCCCGCCTGAGCTTTGAGAGTTTTTTTTTTTTTTTTTTAGCTAGACGTTGATTTCAGAGAAAACCATTGGCATCATCGTGTTTCTTACAAAATGTTACAAAAGGAGAAGCACTAAAAATGCAAACCTCTAACACTCCGTTGGAAGAACCATGTTAAAAACTCCATTGGAAAATAAGGGAAAAAAGTGAAGTTTCATAAATAAATTCTAATGTGAAAAATGGTAAAATAGAAGTGTGCGTCACAATACTTCGTTTTTCAGTTGTAGGAACGTAACTCCATCCAAAGTTTGGAAAACTGACTCGAATATGCATTTTTTTAACGAGTTTATAACTATATGCAGTTTCCATCCAAATACTGATGAATTAATGTAACCAGAGGAAAGATTGGTAAAAATTTTGTTGTAACTAAATTTGCGGCCGTTTAAATATTAATAAGTTGCATCCATGTTTAAATACAATTTTAAAAAAACGTAGAAAAATGTCAGAGCATTCTAGTTCAAAGGTTAATGCGAATATCTTATGATGTAAAATGACATCCTTCAAGTTGCTTTACATACTTAACACATGCTTACATAATTTAATTAAAAATCAAGTCGATTTCTTTATGAAGCTAAAGTCATTGAGAGGCATCTTTGGAAGCAAACGTTCTGTCACCCACCCCCACACTCTCTAAATTTTGTTTCATGCTGGGATGATCTTGTCATGTCATGTCATGAGCAGGTCAACTCTCGGGTAAATTTCTCCTTCAAATCCACTTAACGCAACGCAACATACATTACATGCCTGTTTGCCTGTATCATCGGCGGGGCGTTCGTGCGACCTCTTCTCTGCTTCAAACTCAGTTTCAACGTTGCGAAGTCTATTCTTTATCAGCGATTTGCCAGCTTCCATTCCTTAAATTCGTAATAATGTTACTCTAATCGTCGCGATATGAAAGTTTTACCGAGAATCGAATAGGAAAAAGTAATACAAATGATGGATCACAGGTGTTCTGAACAGAAAATCCATTTTTATCTCAAAGTGATGATTTCTTCCATGATATACTCTCCTGAATATTCGTTCCGCGTATCGATGGGTAATGAGCAATACCGCTCATCTACATAACTGACGATTTTGCAGAACGAAGAGAAAAGTTCGTCATTTTTGTGATTTTAAGGTTATTTTCATTTTTTTCCATACGTTACAGCGTCATTGAAGCGCTTCCCAACCTAATTGGAAAAAAACTAAAATCACTAGCTCGCGTATTTTTACCGAAGAATGCGGCAAAAATCGATGACTTTTTTTTGCCAAAATTTCAGTCAGGCGATACTGTTGGTTACCCATCGATATGAGATGACGAGTAATCTTTAGGTGAAGTGAACGCAATACCTTTTCTCAACTATTCCAGGCGAATCGAATCTGCCACATTTTCCCAAAGTTACTTGATTTATCAAGAGGTTACTTGGTCATGTCAAGAGGATGACGGAAGAGAGGCTGCCAAAAAAGATGCTTGATTGGGTTCCTCCTGGGAGGAGACGAAGGGGACGCCCAGTGAGAGAGTGGCGACAGGGGGTATTAAATGAAATGAGGGAGTGTCAACTCCCTGATGACCTGTGGGAAGACCGAGCTTTGTGGCGATTAGGCGTCGCACAGCGCCAAAGAGCGCTATAAAAGCGACTCATGTATGTACTTGATTTATCCACTCTTAGCTCTGATTTTTTGAAAAACTCACCCTAAGTCGTCATGACTTTAATTCCATATGTATAACTACTTTTTCTGACTTTTTTTAAAAGCACCTATCCATCACGGGAAACAAGTGGCGGCTATGTCGATTCAGAAATGAGCAGAAATATGAGCTCCTTATCGTGAAATATCAGAATTCGCAGATTCAAAAACTGCCATATCCGATTCCGAGGATTAACCTTTGCCTTACTCTACATACAAATACATTTAAGTCGCTTTACAGCACTCCCTCGCGCTCTACGACTCCTAACCTCCACTGCTCTCTTTCAAACCACAAATCTTGGGGCATTGAGCACATTAACATTTCCGCTTCAATCCCCTCCCTCCAACCTTTCATTGGGCGCCCTCTGCGTCCTCTCCTAGGAGGAACCCAATCAAGGACCTTATGCCGCAATCAGACGCTGAATTTAGCAGCTGAATGTGGAAGTCAACAGTCATCGCCCAACGGCTGAAATTTAGCAAATTCGAGTTATTTTCAACCAGATGTGTATTAAATCTACTCGAATAGTTCAGACAAATTCAAAATTGGTCTGATGGTTGCTGAGAATCGTTTCTGAATTTTGCGCGTCACGCGCGAAATTCAGGCATCGGGCCGATGACTTCCACATTCAAGCCACATTCAGCGTGTGATTTCGGTGTTACTCTACCTTCCCAAATTTCGACGTCATGCGACGTAATCGACGTGAAAACGGCAACGTTGTCGGGTGCATCGGAAGCTTGAATAAACAACTTTGATGCGCGCGATTTATCACGAGAGCACTTGGAGCGTGTCCTTTGTGATGAGTCTCCATTGAGCCGTGCGCGGGTTCAGCGCCGCACTTGACATCGGCATCGATCACAGCCACCGACCACCACTTCCGGGCCGCACCGTCCATCGGAAAATACAAAGAGCCAAGTTTTTTGCTTCGGTTTTCCTCCGGAGTTGCGAGAGTCACCCCCCGCCCCGAGGCGCGGTGACGAGGAATGTCTCCATGCCAACGAGTAACGACGGATTGTCGCATGAATATTGAAATGGCACGCGAATCCGAAAGAAGACGTCAACATTAACCATCGCATCTTCGCTCTTCTGCCATAGGGACGTAACTGCACTTCGAGATGAAACCTGCCGTCAGAGTGACGAAACGGTTTCCTGGACCTTCTCTAAAGCACTGGAAAAAAACACATTGGATCTAGAGTCCAGACTCTTGAAAACATTGACAAGAAAAAATACTCTTGATTCAATCAGATTTGTGCTTAAATCAAAAGGAAATCCGCTCAAATTAAGAGGCTTGGTTCTTGGTTTAAGCAAAAATCCGATTGAATCAAGAGTATTTTTTCTTTTCGATGTTTTTAAAAGAGTCTGGACTCTAGATCCAATGTGTGGTTTTTTTTTTTTTCCCCAGTGAGTGATATTACGTTCTTTTTCAGACAAGGGGTAGTGACGATTCTTGCAAGTTACCAACTCTGTTTTTTCTCCATCAAAATGTATGTTAAACAATCGATTCTAAGTATCTCATCTAGAATCGATTTTTGGAATGGATTTAAATGGAGTATCAACAGTGTTGCCAACTTGTTGGAATTGCTTTTGCTGAGGGACGATATGAAAGTGTGGCAGAGGCTCATCTATGACTCTTCCAAGAGGCTCTTCTTCACTTTCAAAGTTAGGTCTTCATACTGCCCTTCTAAGGGAAAACGCCGCACACCGATTAAAAAGCTTTTTATGGACTCGCACTCACTGTACTGCATCATCGGCTAGCAAGGAGGCAGGACGGAGGATGACACACAGATTGCCTACTTACAAGTTTGAAGGAGTTTTATATTTTGAGCATGCGTCGAGGCGCGTAAAAATGATCTAGGCTGTTTCAACCTAACGACACAGTATTGCAATCGAAGAACTTCAACCTCCGCGCAGTTTAAATATGAATTGAATTATTGCATCCAAGTTTATTTCAGAGTCATCAAGAGTATGTTTTCTTTTTCTCTTTTACAAAGTTCTCCTCCTGAAGTCCCAAACCCTACCTGCATTTTAAGAGCAAAAAAACTGTAACCCTTAAATGGTTAATGCAGCACAGCCATGAAGTAAGATTCAACATAAAGATATTTTGTGTTTTTTTTTCATTAAGTATATTAAAGCCTCCTCTTTGTTTCAGGAACTTCGACTGGACCGAAATAGACTGAATGCGGTCCCTAGTGCTTCACTGAGCGGCCCAAAGGCGCTTCGATCTTTGACTCTCTCGTTGAATCGAATAAGTAAGTTACCTTTTTTCAATGAAACCATGGGATTTTCATATTATTTAATTGACTTATTTCTGCTAAAAGGACTATCTGCAAATGTGCTGAACACCCTGGTAAAAATTGGCGATAGGAGCTGCGTTTCAAAATACTATAAGAATTCTTATAGCCGGTTAAAGGAGGCGATAGAAAATCATATAGCTGGCTGTAGAAAGCGGAGAAAATCATAGAGCCGGGCTGTACGAAGCGATAAAAAATTATGAAGGCGGGCTATAGTTCCTATCACCGGATTATACGCCTTATCGTCATCTGCTATGAAAGGCTATAAGAAATTGTGTAGAAATTCGTGTGCTCTGAAAATCATTAAGTTTGATACGGAACCACCTTAATGTTTACAAACCACACATTATATTTTCCTTTAATACATATTTTTTTAATCAATTAAAATGAGAATAATCCATACAGGGCGTTGCAAACATTTCAAAATCATGAGTTGAAAAACGCTGACTCCGCCAGATTAAATATTAGAGCCTAACCACTGGCGCCTACAAACCTAACAGGGATACTTCACGCATTGCGCAACGCATGAAGTATCCCTGTTAGGTTTGTAGGCGCCAATGCGCGTTTCGCGCTGGCCGCCCGCCCGCCCGCCGAGCCGCAGCGTGCCACGGCGCTTGAAGCAACTATTTCACACCAGAAGTATTGCACAGTATCATACGAAATTGAAGGCGGGCTAACATATTAGGAATGGCAGGCATCCATCAAAGGTACGGAGCTTTCCTCGCAAAATAAATCAAGATACTACGGCCCAAAAAGAGAGCGGTAGTCCAAAAACTCACTAAGTCCTAGCATCCGTAATTAGTAACATTTAGTATACACTTTATCGCCTGGCTGTTGCTTAGTCGCCATCGGCTATAAAAGGCTATAAGAAATTGTGTAGCCGGCTATAGAAGCTATTGGAAATCTTACAGCCGGCTGTAGGTCTATGGTATTTTGGAACACAGATTCTACTGCCAATTTTTACCAGCGCAAGAAAGAACTGTATTCACAGGACTTAAATGGTTTTTTTATGTGATTCATATTTTGTACATAGTTCCTTTCAGCATTCATAGGTCCAGATGTGAATCAAACTTAAGGGACTGAGTATTTTTGGAAATAAAAGTAAAAAAAAAGACAGGATGAAAAAATAGATTGATAAATATTTTATACATCTGGCAACATTAGGTACATTTTTCAGCAAATAGTAATAACATGTGCATACGATTGAAAACTAACTTTTCAAAATGCTCATCTTTTTTTAAGCTTGTACAAAGGAGATATTCAAAATTATTTCTTGGACATAAATTATACCCTTTTTGATTAGTTTATTTTTAACTAGAGATTGCGCCTTCTTACCGCTTGGCGGTCCAAACCCCCAAAGCGCTTTGTACCCCAGGCGTTATGTTCTACTCGTTACTCTTCTGATATTATATTAAGTGTGAAATTCAATTAACTATCGTATATTTTTCCTTTCCAGAGAGTATTGACGACGATGCGTTCTACGCTCAACCGAATTTGGAAAAAATTGATATGAGCAACAACAGGCTGAACAAAGTTGCAGGCGGTGCCTTTGGAGGGTTACCGAAATTGAGGAAACTCAAATTAGGGTACAACAGGCTCGTGCACCTCAACAGCGACGTGTTTCAAGGTATTCATCTTTCTTCGATTTTTTTTTTTTTTTTCTTTTATGCGCCATAAGTATCTAATTGCGTCATGCGTCATCATAACGCCATACTGAACTTAATAGAATTGGTCTTCCGATAGGTATATTTTGATGTTTAATTTCTACAATCATTTTTTTTAACTGGGACCCCCTGGCCACTATCCGGCCCAACCCCCGAAGGTGCTTAGCAGACTACTCTGAGTTAATCTGTAACATCCAATAAGACAAAGCTCTAAAAAAATTATTTCCATCGGCGACCATATCGTTGACTGTGGGGCGAAGCGGTTTATTCATTTTCGATGGTATCTTTAGAAAGAGAAAGTCGCCAGTAAAAAACCTAGATTAAAAAAATTCCTGCCTTCTAGAATTAAGGAATATTAGTAAGTAAAATTAACTTACAATAATGCAAGAGAGATTTTGCAGTTTCACAGCCGACCGTGAGGTAAAAAGTTTGAAGAATTTTGGTTCAAATGCTAGTGGAGCCAAATGAGGTTTTTACAATAAGAAATACTAACAACTGCAATTTATTTCCGCTCAACTTTTTCAATTGACATGTCACTTTGTTTCATCTCCTTCTCATAGGTTCCAGTAATGTAGAGCAACTAGATTTGTCCGGGAACTTCTTCGTCGACTTTCCAGTCATTGCTCTAAGGCAGTTGCCGCGGCTGAAATTCCTGAACATTTCGGCTAACTTGATCGAGGTAAGGAGCTGGCACAGACTTGTGCAAATTTTATTTTACATGACAATTTTTTCTCGATGCAAGAAACGTCGATTGCCTCAAGGCCTCAAAACCTATGGAAAATAAACCTGAAATGGACGTATTTCTACCAAAGAGACCTATGTGGCGATGAGAAATGTGGGGTGTGCTCTAGAAATCTGCATAAGAAGCAATGTGGTCAGTGGGCGTGGCTCCTTTTGAAGAATTGGAAAAGCGGGATATTGCATTCTATCAAAGAGACCTATGTGCAGCTGAGTGCGGAACTCATGAGCCGCGGGCATGGCAAGAAAGCGTTGTGGACAGGGCTCATGAGTTAAAACGCCCCGACGACCATCTCCCCGACTCGCGGGCGTCATCATTGCCGCTGACGTCACTGGCGCACAATTATTCTCATTCACTCTTACGCAAAGAGACTAACGAGCACACCCCATATTTCTCACTTCCACATAGGTCTCTTTGGTAGAACTACGTCCAAATCATCGAACGACCGTTATGCTTTACGGCGCGACGAGAGTTGAGTAAAACATCGTATTTTACTATTTTCTTCCTTTTTTTGCGGGCGACTCCTTTTTTTTGAAAACTTAAACTCAGCACAACATTATTCATCAATTTTTTGTATTGATATTTTTACCCACGACAAGTCTATACATCATAAAACAGTATCAACAAACATCGATGATGCCGATAAGAATCAGTATTAAAACTGCATGGTCTGGAAAATAATTTTTATAATAACATTTCTATAACAATTATTATAATTCCGCTACTTAGATCTGAAACTTGGACCAAAAGAAACATGCTAAGACTTACATTTTGGAAGGGAGGAACATGGAACAAGAACAAGGCAAGTCAAAGAACCAAGAAGCCAAGAAAACCAAAGAAGAGTTTCAAAGCTTAACTTTGTTCCCGTTAAAATCTGAAGTCGAAAAATTGCGAGCTTTATGAAATAAGGGTTGAACGCTATTTTCTTCATTAATTTTTATTGAAAGATGAAATTTATAAATACTTTTTCCAGTTTTAACTTGCAACGGATTGTCTCATTTTCTTAGTGTTGAGTTCCTGTTTGCAGTTACTTAGCGTCAAGTTTGCTCTCAATTATGCAACCACAAGTATTTAATTATCAATTTTACGGGGAAAAGTCCATTCGAAAAAATACTCACTTACAACTCCGATCGTTTCAGAAACTGGACAACTCTTACTTCCACTCTCTCTCTGCACTGGAGAAAATTGACCTAAGCCACAACAGCATAGGCAACATTGCTCCAGCAACTTTCATGGGATTGAAGAATCTGAAAAACTTGGATCTGAGTGTCAACATGCTACGAACGGTAAGAAATCTCTCATGAATTACGATAAGCTGTCGCGTCAATGTTTTTAAAATTTTTAAAATAAAATTCTGTAGCGGAGAGATAATTTTTTTCAAAAACATTACATGTATAGAAAAAACTCCTGCGTTTAGTATCCACAAAATTTGCTGAAGCAGTCAAGACGCATGATAAAGGCTTACACCTCTAAAAAATTTCATTTTAGAGGAAAAAACCCACTGGCTCATGAGAAAGCTCAAAATTTCACGTTATCCAAAACCACTGAAATCTCGCATTGGAAAAAATATAGAGACGATACCCAACAGACAGCATGGTTAAGCTTAATTTGCCTTTCTATGATAAAGCTCTACATCAAAACTTAAAACCCATTTTATTCCCGTAAATCAATTCGCCTTCAAATAAAAAGATAGGCAAAACAATATCCTACGAACAGCAATAGTGGTATCCAAAAATATGAAGGATTTTACCTCATGAAACATGCACCCGTAACCCCAACAAAGTTTCTTTGATGGCATCATTCCATCATTGCTCGCAGGAATCCAGTCTCTCATACCCTGCTCAATGACGGGGAATCTGTTCGCTTTAAGAATTCATGAAATGTCAAAAACCTCCACGCCTTATGGTGATTTTCCTCCCTGCTACCAATGTTATTCTTGCGGGAGATCTTCTTCTGACCTCATTTTGTACTGAAATATTTTCCTCCATGCATGGACTAAGATCGCCACCCTCCGGCCGAGGTACCACAAGCGTCATGCGACGTTTCAAACTTTCCACCGCCATTTTATTTTTTTACCGAAAATTTTTGGGTTGAATCTGTTTGAAAATCTCACTGAATTTTAATGGCAACACGAAAAAAATTCAGTAAAATTTTCGGACAGCTTTGTCGAACAAGTTCTCGGTAAAAAAAATAAAATGTCGGCGAGAGTTTTTAAACATCGCATGGCGCTCCTGATACTTTAGCCGGAAGGTGCATTATGATGAGTTTTCCTCCCTGCTACCAATGATATTCTTTCGGTAGATCTTCTTTCGGCTTCATTTTCTAACGAAATATTTTCCTTCGTGGACTGAGATCACTTTTCCTGTGCACGGTCACATCTAAATAGATGAGGTCGTAATTTTTTCCAATATTTCTGAAATTTAGATCGAAGATGATGCATTCGAGGGCCTTTCGAGTCTGGAGACCCTGTCCCTGAGCGACAACAACATCCTGGTGATCCCGGGTTCGGCCTTGCTGCGACTTCCACGACTTCGGGGTTTGAACCTGGACTACAACCGGATCGCAGCACTCTCGGCCGACATCTTCACGCCCATCGCCGATCGGGTTGTCAGTATCAACCTCGCCAGGAACGTTATCAGAGAGCTCCCAGTTGATGCTTTCCAGGTAACTGCAAAACGGCAATAATTATCCAAGCACCTCAGTTTAAGTAGCCTTACCTTAACTTAGGCATAAAGTTGCGTGCAATCGCCAAGGCACCTACATTTGAGAAAACCGGTGACCCTTGAACTTTAAAATATTAATATGAATGCAGTAGATCGCACTGCAACTGACTGGTACATCAAAAAAAATTTGAACGACATAACACGGTGCTAAACAGAATGTGTTCTTCAAAATAATCCTATCATTGGTACTTTTAAATTAAAATTAAGGTGTTCCTGAAACATTCCGGACTGAATATGATTGTTTATGTACATCTCAAAGTGCCTAAGCGAGGCGGGAAAACGATAATTTTAAAGTACATCATAATACGGATCTTTATCGCGGATTTTTCATTTTTTGAAAATAAAAATATCTCCTATCACTGTTTGAAGTTTTCGGTGAAATTTTCTCATCTTGCAAGACACTTTTTCCAAAATTTCAAGTCATCATGCTCTACATTTTTTTTTTTTTTTCGAGAAATTATAAAATATTAGGGATGAATTTCGTAAAAGTCCGAGACTGATTTTCTCTTTGTCCTGCGCACACATTTATCGATTTTCGTGTGTTTAGGATAGAAATGACGGAACTAATGATCGAAGCATTTGTTTAGGCTTTACACACTTTGTGCCACCTACCTAAAACTTGGTATTGAAACATCTCAATCTAAAATCAGAAACTTCTGTGGTATTCAATTTTAAATTAGACATTCATTTCTTGTAATCAATCGCATGAATGTTAATGGACAGTATTACACTGAAAAAAAAACACATTGGATCTAGAGTCCAGACTCTTGAAATCATTGACAAGAAAAAGGACTCTTGATTCGATCAGATTTAAGCATAAATCAAAAGGAAATCCGCTCAAATTAAGAGGCTTGGTTCTTGATTTAAGCTAAAATGTGATTGAATCAAGAGTATTTTTTCTTGTCGATGTTTTTAAGAGTCTGAACTCTAGATCCAATGTGTTTTTTTCCAGTGTATCACAACACTTCAAATCCTCGAGTCCTAACGCCTGAAATTCTGTTGTAGGATTTCAAAGTTCTCTCATCCCTGGACCTCAGCGGCAGTCTCCTTCTCAACATCGAGGCGGCCTCCTTCTCAGGTCTGGAGGACACTCTGCTCTCCCTGAACTTACACGGCAACCGCCTCAGCAGTCTACCCCAGCAACCTTTGACCCTCCACCGGCTCCGCAGACTGGACCTCTCGCACAACTCCCTGAAAGAGTTACCACGCGCATCGTTCACCGGCCTCACCGAGCTCATGTTCCTGAACCTGAGCAACAACCCTCTCCTCACATCCCTCCCACTCAACTCCCTCGATCCTCTCTCCCGACTCGAAGTTCTAGACCTCACCAACACCGGAATGAAGCTCCTCTCGCCCGATCTCCTGCTCAGGAACCCCCGCCTGAAGTGGCTCTCGTTCGCCGGCAACATGATCCAAGAGATCCCCGAACTGGCCTTCCAGAGTCAGGTCAACGTGACGTCACTCGACCTCTCGAACAACCACATATCCAACATCCGCGTCCCCGCGTTTATGGGCCTCGCGAACCTGCGGAAACTCAACTTGGAGGGTAACAAACTCGCGTCCTTCAAAGGGGAGTTCTTCATCAACAGGCGCAGCAACGGGACCCTCCTGGAAGACATCAACTTGTCCAATAATTATCTAAGCTACCTGTTCCCGTCTTCCTTCAAAGTTCACCCGAGGCTGAAACGTATAAATGTTTCGCAGAACAAGTTCAGTTTCTTCCCGGCCGAGCTGATCGCCACCCTGGAGTACCTACAGGAAGTGGACCTGAGTAAGAACTACCTGAAAACGCTGGAGGAGTTTGACTTCGGCCGGCTGCCAAACCTAAGGACTGTTGACTTATCATACAATCAAATCGAATCGATCAGTGAGACAGCTTTCCATAACTCCACCCAACTCCAGGAGATAAAACTAGGTCGGAACAAGCTCGAGAAGCTAGAGGAGCGGCTCTTCCAGGGATTGGTCCGCTTGAAGCTTTTGGACCTGCAGCACAACTCGTTGTCCGACCTGCCCCAAACGATTTTCGAACGGAGCAGGCTCAGGATATTGGAAAACATCAACCTATCAGGCAACAAATTCTCAGAGGCTCCGCTGAAATCACTCCAAAAACAATACTTCTTCCTCATGTCCGTTGATCTGTCACACAACCTCATCAAAGAACTCCCATCGGATGACAGCACGATGGTCAACATCAAGAAACTAGACTTGTCTTTCAATAAACTATCCGAGGACACGATCGCCGCTATCCTGGGCGAACCGAAGACAGTCAGAGAGCTCAACATGGCCGGTACCGGAATCACCCATCTCACACGGTTGGAGACACCCTTCATCCAGAGCCTGAACGTCTCCCACAACAACATCTCCCAGGTCACCGACAAAGTGTTCGAGAAAACCACCCTCATCGAGTCCATCGACTTCTCGCACAATCTGATCACCGATGTGGGTGGGTCTTTCGCTCACATGTGGGCGCAGATGAGGAACCTCCGTAGCCTGGACCTGTCGTCCAACCCCATCCAGAATATCCTCAGCGGTGACCTGGACAACCTGGGATCCCTTACCACCCTGAAGATCGCCAATCTAATGCAGTGCGCTAAGATCGAGAAACACGCTTTCAAATCCATGGAAGACTTGGTTCACCTGGAGGCCTACGGGTATCCGAAGCTTGGCTACCTGGACGTCGCTGGCATGCTCCACTACCTCCCTTCTTTAGAATATCTAGACATAGAGGTCAAAGACTCGGCGATCGGCAGTGACCAACTGTCAGCCGGCATGAACCCTCGATTAACCCACCTCAGTGTCCAAGGAAACCGTGTCCAATCCATATACTCTGGCGCTCTAGCGGGGTTGAAGTCCAAACAAATCACAATCGAATTCCGGAACACCACTATCAACAACCTACCACCATCCTTACTGATCCCCCTACCGCGCTCATCGAAGATCACGCTCCGAGTTGCCGGCAACCAACTTTCGTCCATCTCCCCGCAGTTCCTGTCAGCCCTGGACGACCGGCGAAACGAGATGTCCCTCCAGGGATTGAAAGACAACCCCATCCACTGCGACTGCAACGTCCGGGCCCTACGTCGTTCTGGTTTGGCAGTCGGGATCCGTTGCGCCACCCCTAGTTATCACGCCAACAAACTGCTCATGGAAATCCCAGACGACGAGTTGAGCTGCGACCCGAACCGGGCTTTGAAACTGACCTCCACGACGACGCCTCCACCGCCCCCGCCCGTCAAGCAGAACAAAATCATTTCCCGCTTGACAACCGAACCGGAGATCATTTGGTCTTTGCCACCTCCATCCCCCACGACGCATAAACCTTTGATCACAGCGAAGCCACCGTCCCTCGGCATGCAGCAGATCAACAACGACGACACACTGATCATCGGCATTGTAGGTGGTGTTGTTGCGTTTATTGCGATACTAATCATCATAATTTGCATTGTCCGGTTAAGGATAAACAACAGCCCCTACCCGACAGGGCCTTTAGCACCGTTACCGGCGCTGATGCCACCCCATTGTAACAATCAGAACTACCCCTGTAACTTCTCGATTCCGAATTTGTACGCGATGACTCCGCAATATAACCCGAGCTACGCGTCCAGTCTTCCGCCCAAGATGGCGGTATCGCCAGCCTCGGTGTCGCCGCATCTAAGGGCGTCGTATACTACCCTCGGAAGACAGCCTATGCATGGTCAGTCGCAGCCTTACTACATATCGTTCCCGCACGAGGAGAAGGAGTATATCAGCTAGCTCCAGGGGTTAAGCTAGTTTGAAGGGAGTTTGCAAATTTACCAAAACTTTTAAACTTGGCTGTCCTTGGAACAGAATGATTGATTGAATTTACCGCACCAAAAATAATCAGATTGTTGGATTTATTACGAGCATCAAGTTAGTTCATGATAATCGTATTTTTAAATATGAACATATTAGTTTAGGCGGTCAATTCAATCTTTTTCTTTGTTTCTTGGAGCCAACTGACCACTCAACTAAGTCTGTAATCAGACTGCAGAACTAATTAGTCATCAATGAATTGCACCAATTCATCGGTAGATTTAATTTATGGTGTATCAATATACCGGGCAGTTGTCCTTAATTAGAATTTTCACGATTGAGAAAGTTATGAATTTTGAAGTTTTGAAAGAATAAATAAAGTGAGGCATCACTCACTTTGGTCTCTCAGATACGTTACTTTGAATCCTGTAACGTTAGAGTGTAAACTCATATTATCATAAAATCCTGCAAGACACCAGAGGATTAGTTTTGTTTACGTTAGCATTTTAGCATTTGTGCCACATTTTCTTCTGAATCGTGAATAATCTGATTAATCGCAAACTGTCACGGTTTCATATTTCTCGTAGTTATGAACCAGAGAATGCTTGTAGAGTACCACTTTCGCTTTTTCTGTAGATAAAGTAAGATGGTGACCAAATTCTAGATAAGACGCCGCAGACTGCTCCATTTTCTTATTACTTTGGTATATCATTCAGGATGGATCTATTTTGAAGTTTAATGATATATACGAACCATTTTCAGATAACTCAGAGTGGCATCGTACTTGCTAGGGGACTTAATCTGTATTTCTACTACTGGAGCTCGTTCCGTTGAAACATTTGTTTAAATGTCGCCTTTAAACGTGTTTGATACACAATTTCATTCTTTCTATAACACTGAATGAAAGGGGAGTTATTTAGAAATGCTTTAGTCCGCTTTATCAAATTAAATTGTCCTTGTACCTCAAAAAAGTACTTAAATCCTGCAGCTCGGGAACTTTTTGATACTCACATAGCCATGTTGGAATTTACGAAGTAAAATGCCAAATTCGAGCAATATTGCGTGTATGTCATGGTGATTACATAGTTAGAAAATACTTTTAAACCTTGAATACCAGAACTTTAAAATATTAAAAAAAAATCAGTAGCCAGTTACTTCAAAATTGAACTCCATGATATACCAAAATAATTAGAGAACTCTATAAAATGAACACTCTTTTAAATGCCATGATTGTGAAAGTGTGGTAAAAAACGATTGGATTTCGGGAGATTTAAATGAGGACCAATTAATGGCTTGAAAAGGAAAATTCACCTGATGTTTGCAGAAAATGCTCCGTCAAAATCTACCTATCAATCTATTATAATTACAAATCATCGATTACAAGGGGAGTGAATTGATTCGATATTTATCGATTGTTCACATACGGTTCAATGGGTGAAACACGAGTGATACGTATAAGAGATGCCACCGGTTCTGGATTAACTCTTGTTTTACCACACTTGGGCAGTTGCAAAGGTGTTCATTTGAATCACCTCGATCTAGTCGCTTAACTTGCTGTTCTTCAGCCAAACTTCATTTCGATGAAGAGAATCACAGAGAATCAATTCATATCAATGGTTTGTACAAAAATTTAGAAATAAGTCGTATCAATCTTATTTTGTGCCTTAGACTGATGATTGTTCAGCAGGACCGATGCAGTAAAATTAACGGGAGAGAAAACAAAATGCATGCTCAATCGCTCAATTTGCGAGCTTTAGGAAAATAAGCCAGAGAATTTTATTGTTAACTAAATACCTAAGTAGATTATGCTATTGGGACGCCGATGAACACTGACTCCTCATTGAATATTTGCATCTAAATGAGAAAGCATTATCCTCTTATCACGGATATTTTAAAAAACACAAATTGCTCTAAGAGAACCACAATATATCTGCAGTTAAGCTCTTTAAGGCTAAAGGCTCGGTTTGCTGCTAATCAAACAACGTGTTTATCCCCAACGCACTTTTTTCGTACGCAGTATATATTTTGTACGATGCAAAAACTTGAAGGCACAATTTTGACTTTTTTGGTGCCGTTGAGCTCCAATAATGTTAATTTAGCTTCATCCCTATGGTTTTCATCGTTGGACAATGCTTCTGGCTTTTATGGAGCACTGATGGTTCTGTTTAATATGAATTTCCAAAACAGAATATAATGCTGGAATAATCTGCACCAGATTCTCCTTCATGTTCCTTATAAAACAAGAATATACACATGGGTAATTTTTAAAGTTTTTAAGGCATTTTGCGTATCAGCGTAAACACGTATATCAGGAAATCGGAAGGAACAATGAATGTCTCGTTGTTTCAGGGAGTCTCCTCACATTTTTTGTCACCTCGTTTTCTCAAATATTTTTCTCCATCGAGACTCAATTTCAAACGTTTTTTTTTACTTCTCTCTTCTAGAAGGAGCTCGAATTGGACGCATTTTTGCCAAACGGAACTATGTGCATTATTATGCGAGCCCTGTTATGCATATATTTTTATGGGTCTCAGGGCTCATGTCTTGATGCACATAGTTCCGTTTGGTATAAATGCGTCCAATTCTCTCCAGACTTTCCCTCGTAACTTCAGACGACAACACGATCAATCCATCAACGTCTCTTTCCACATTTAAATCAATATGACGTGACAACATCACATCTCGTCTCTGTCAGATTGTTATACTCGTATCGCCTTCTTTGCGTTATTTGATACGCACGGTTTTGTACATCAATATATCTTCGTAGCGTGAAGGCTTCTGCGAAAGTCTCGGATTTGGCAAACTTGAGCTCCCACCTCCCCTATCATCCTAAAAATATAAAATTAGCCCGATACATATACCTCTACCTCTAAAATAGGCAAAGAAGCATCACTCTATGTCAGCCAGTTATTCAGCCTGATTGACAAATTTTTGAACGTGTTTAAGCCCAAACGGAACTATCTGCAAATGAATTCAATAAAAACGCACTGTATACTTAGTATTGACACGTAATCTGCCGTGCTAAGGAAAAACGCCGTATGAACATCCGAGAGTCGCCAAATTTCCTCCAGTAAAATGTTTAATTTTGAAGAAAGTCATGAAAATTTTCTCTTGAAATTTTCAGATAATTTAGATCTAGTGGTGAATAAAATTCTCTGAAAAATCGGAGAAAAAATATTCACAGATTTCCCTGAAAATTCATGTTTTATCGAAAGAAATTTGGCAACGTCCAAAGGCTCGTACAGAGTTCTTCCTTAGCATGGCAGTAATGACAGACGACCCGAATGATCCTCGACATCATTTCTAGATCTCTAATTGGCCTGTTTTTGCCGCAATACTTTTTTAAATCAAGATTTAGCAACATTGCATAGTGTGAACGTTTCATGAAAGCATAATTTGTGCTCATTTCTTGCGAGATCATGAAGTTGGTAACGATGTTAAATACATGAGTTTTTAATTAGTGAAAAAAACTGAATGAATTTAGCCATTATGACAATGTGTCCCATTTTTGTGCCACTAAGAAATCTTCTCAATGCTCTATTACTGACAAACAGTTCCGTTCTCCCGTTAATTTTAATGCATTGGTTTGTTTCCAGTGTTTGCGTGATTATTTCCTTAGGTCGTCTTGATGTCGTCACACTTTAAGAGCTCTCTTAGCTCAATATGAAGTTTAAGAAAGTACGCCCTGAAGAAACTGACTTTGGCGTGCAATGTTCGCGATTGTTTTGCTTAAAGATCCAAAATGTTCCTTCAATAGGTATTATGAACGTAAATGTCTTGAAATTTTAAATTAAGAAATTTAAAAATAAGGTTTCAGATCAAAATAGATTTTCAAATATTTCACTTAGAATTGTGTTCCCAAATGCGCCTACAATTGAGGGGCCTGGAGGACAAGGCGCATGAGAGCAGTTTTTGAAAAAATTGAGATATTCGATATTCATGAACTCAACTGAAACTAGTTTGAAAGCATATTCTGTGAAAAATTCACGACCTAAGTCCAACTTTAAAGCATCAAAAAGTGAGTTTAAACTTCCTTTCTGCTGTAAGGCTCCATATATTTTTGATATTTTGAACACGTATTTCTTGAAATACCATAAACTGCACTTATGCGCCTTGTCCGCTAAGCCCCTCAATTAAGCTTTGCGGCAATGATAATGGCGCAAAAGTAGATTTCTGCATCTGTGGCACTGCTTTCCCTCAAAATTGCACATCTCTGACCTTAAACTTTGAAAAAACATCGGTCCATCAAATTATAATTCAAAATAAAATGTTTAGACTTCAAGCAAAACGAAGCTCTTTAATTATGTAACTATGCATCATCTCCATAGCACGATTGTCTATGAACTATTCTCTCTTGTGCTTCACTAATTTTGATGATTATCCTTAAAATTATCTCAACTTGAAGTTGTGCTTTTACAATTGTCCATTTTACTTAAAAGGTCGAGCATCAAGGTGTTGCGCAAACACTTGGAACTGAGTAGATAAGATAAATGTACATATTACCTCATTTGTAGAAAATTGTACTTATTTAAGTTTAGGAAATTTGTTAGTTAAATATTTTATTGTTTGTCAATCAGATATTGTATATAATTGACTAGGGATGGTAATTGTAAATACAGTGGTAAGAATTTGTAAAATCCGTACGCCAAGAAATTCTAACATTAATAAATGTGTACAGTGTTGTAACAGGTGTAAATTTTTTCTTTTATTGAATTTCCTCCTGCGGAATTGATGACCATCTTCCATAATACGAGCTATAGTTTTCTGCCATAAACTTTTTTCCAAAAATTTTTTTTTTTTTTTTGGCAAATATTCGATCGTCGTAAATTAATCTCCCCCAAAAAGGCAGGATAACTAGTATTAGGCTGTCAACCAGTATCTTTGACAGAGTTAAAGAGATCCTCAAGGTATCGGACAGTCCATAGGAAATGAAAGCGCAGTGGCGATTTTTGAAATTTGGCAACCCTGTTTTTCCTCAATTTAAGGGTATGAAAAATACTCGATTCCTGGTGATGCATCTTGCTTAACTTGAAGCAGGACCGGATTTACCAATAGGCTACATAGGCTATAGCCTAGGGCGCAACATTTTAAGGGGCGCAAAATTTTTGATAATTTGTTAAAAAAACGTGACTTATTAAAAAAATTTTACGTAGTAGTTGACTAAGGTGTTTTTTTAATGGCGAATTTGAACATTTTCCGGACACCTTACATCCTCCTTCTGATCTGGAGAGGAGGGGCGTCTTGGGACCCCACCCTCCCACGGGAGCGCCTACTTTTAGGGGCGCCACCCTAAGTTCTATACTAGGGCGCTAAAAATGTAAATCCGGCCCTGACTTGAAGTCTATATTTTTAATTTACTTAAATGCAGGAAAAACAGTGCTGCCAACTTGCAAAAATTGCTACTGACTCGCAGCACACGTGGGCTTGGAAAAGCAACTTTTGTCTACTCAGATTGAAATGTCAGAATTTATTGGCAGAATGCAATTTTTACTCGTAGCATCGTTAAAAATTTGCGTAACGATGAATTCATTATTTTACCCATAAGAAGCGTTGTCCTTTATTACAATCCAACAATGTTGAGCTCAAAGAGCGCACCAAATTAAATCTTCTAATAGCTTTTTCTCGATTTTTGCGTAGAAAATTCGAACCACAAACCACCTTGGCTCCGATACGACGAAACGCTTTTAGCAAAACTTTCGAAAGCTCCCACTTTCTCAGATGGTCTCATATTAGGGGTGATTACATGCAAAATACATGTTATCAATTACGGAAAACATGAAGGCTTTTTCCATTTAAATCTTCCGTCACATTCACACGGCGCAATGATACAACTATTTTAACTCCCCGGAATGCGTGAGGTATCACGCCGCATTTGAAGGCGTTTTCAAAACAGCTTAGTTCCGATACCCGGATTATCGTTTTGCATAGTTCATATTCTTTTGTTATATTCCGTACCACTCGTTTATTTTTAATCCTCGTAGAAAAACCACCCATTTGCTAAATACAATTCTAGCTGGAGCGCACTTCAGCTATGCATTCACTACTGCAAAATGTCTAAGGAAATCGAAAAGGCCACCGTGCATGAAGGCTATTTCAATTGTAATCTTCCGTCGCATTTCTAAGGCGCAATGATACAACTATTTGAACTCTCCGGAATGCGAGAGGTATCATGCCGCATTTGAAGGCGTTTTCAAATCAGCCAAGTTCCGATACCCAAATTATCGTTTTGCATAGTTCATATTCTTTTGTTTCCATTTCTAACCACTTGTTTAAGTATAATCCTCCTATAAAAACCACCCATTTGCT